ATTGATTTTGACTAAGGTCGCCCCTAGTCCAAAATTGAAAATGTATTTCCTACTTGGTTCTTTGCTCAAAAAAATTTTTGGATGTTTTATTTGTATTTGTTTTAAGCATTAAAATATTTATGCAAAGTTTCAATCCATTTGGATAAACCCTCGAAGAAAAAGCGTCGCCCTTAGTCCAAAATTGAAAATGTATTTCCTACTTGGTTCTTTGCTCAAAAAAATTTTTGGATGTTTTATTTGTATTTGTTTTAAGCATTAAAATATTTATGCAAAGTTTCAATCCATTTGGATAAACCCTCGAAGAAAAAGCGTCGCCCTTAGTCCAAAATTGAAAATGTATTTCCTTCTTGTTTTAAGCACTGAACTTTATTGCAAAGTTTCAATCCATTTGGATAAACCCTCGAAGTAAAAAATTGACAAAATTGATTTTGACTAGGGTCGCCCCTAGTCCAAAATTGAAAATGTATTTCCTACTTGGTTCTTTGCTCAAAAAAATTTTTGGATGTTTTATTTGTATTTGTTTTAAGCGCTGGAATTTTTATGCAAAGTTTTAATCTATTTGGATAAACCCTCGAAGAAAAAAATGACAAAATTGATTTTGACTAGGGTCGCCCCTAGTCCAAAATTGAAAATGTATTTCCTACTTGGTTCTTTGCTCAAAAAAATTTTTGGATGTTTTATTTGTATTTGTTTTAAGCATAAAAATTTTTATGCAAAGTTTCAATCCATTTGGATAAACCCTCGAAGAAAAAGCGTAGCCCTTAGTCCAAAATTGAAAATGTATTTCCTTCTTGGTTCTTTGCTCAAAAAAATTTAAGATGTTTTATTTGTATTTGTTTTAAGCACTGAAATTTTTATGCAAAGTTTCAATCCATTTGGATAAACCCTCGAAGTAAAAAATTGACAAAATTGATTTTGACTAGGGTCGCCCCTAGTCCAAAATTGAAAATGTGTTTCCTACTTGGTTTTGTGCTCAAAAAAATTTTAGGATGTTTTATTTGTATTTGTTTTAAGCACTAGAATTTTTATGCAAAGTTTCAATTCATTTGGATAAACTCTCGAAGAAAAAAGTGACAAAATTGATTTTGACTAGGGTCGCCCCTAGTCCAAAATTGAAAATGTGTTTCCTACTTGGTTTTGTGCTCAAAAAAATTTTAGGATGTTTTATTTGTATTTGTTTTAAGCACTTAAATATTTATGCAAAGTTTCAATTCACTTGGAAAAACCCTCGAAGAAAAAAGTGACAAAATTGATTTTGACTAGGGTCGCCCCTAGTCCAAAATTGAAAATGTGTTTCCTACTTGGTTTTGTGCTCAAAAAAATTTTAGGATGTTTTATTTGTATTTGTTTTAAGCACTAGAATTTTTATGCAAAGTTTCAATTCATTTGGATAAACTCTCGAAGAAAAAAGTGACAAAATTGATTTTGACTAGGGTCGCCCCTAGTCCAAAATTGAAAATGTGTTTCCTGCTTGGTTTTGTGCTCAAAAAAATTTTAGGATGTTTTATTTGTATTTGTTTTAAGCACTTAAATATTTATGCAAAGTTTCAATTCACTTGGAAAAACCCTCGAAGAAAAAAGTGACAAAATTGATTTTGACTAGGGTCGCCCCTAGTCCAAAATTGAAAATGTATTTCCTACTTGGTTATTTGCTCAAAAAAATTTTAAGATGTTTTATTTGTATTTGTTTTAAGCACTGGAATATTTATGCAAAGTTTCAATCTATTTGGATAAACCCTCGAAGAAAAAAATGACAAAATTGATTTTGACTAGGGTCGCCCCTAGTCCAAAATTGAAAATGTATTTCCTACTTGGTTCTTTGCTCAAAAAAATTTTAGGATGTTTTATTTTTATTTGTTTTAAGCACTAAAATATTTATGCAAAGTTTCAATCTATTTGGATAAACCCTCGAAGAAAAAAGTGACAAAATTGATTTTGACCAGGGTCGCCCCTAGTCCAAAATTGAAAATGTATTTCCTACTTGGTTCTTTGCTCAAAAAAATTTTAAGATGTTTTATTTGTATTTGTTTTATGCACAAGAATATTTATGCAAAGTTTCAATCCATTTGGATAAACCCTCGAAGAAAAAGCGTCGCCCTTAGTCCAAAATTGAAAATGTATTTCCTTCTTGGTTCTTTGCTCAAAAAAATTTTAGGATGTTTTATTTGTATTTGTTTTAAGCACTGGAATTTTTATGCAAAGTTTCAATCCATTTGGATAAACCCTCGAAGTAAAAAATTGACAAAATTGATTTTGACTAGGATCGCCGCTAGTCCAAAATTGAAAATGTATTTCCTACTTGGTTATTTGCTCAAAAAAATTTTTGGATGTTTTATTTGTATTTGTAATAAACACAAGAATATTTATGCAAAGTTTTAATTCATTTGGATAAACCCTCGAAGAAAAAAGTGACAAAATTGATTTTGACTAGGGTCGCCCCTAGTCCAAAATTGAAAATGTATTTCCTACTTGGTTCTTTGCTCAAAAAAATTTTAGGATGTTTTATTTTTATTTGTTTTAAGCACTAGAATATTTATGCAAAGTTTTAATCTATTTGGATAAACCCTCGAAGAAAAAAGTGACAAAATTGATTTTGACCAGGGTCGCCCCTAGTCCAAAATTGAAAATGTATTTCCTACTTGGTTCTTTGCTCAAAAAAATTTTAAGATGTTTTATTTGTATTTGTTTTATGCACAAGAATATTTATGCAAAGTTTCAATCCATTTGGATAAACCCTCGAAGAAAAAGCGTCGCCCTTAGTCCAAAATTGAAAATGTATTTCCTTCTTGGTTCTTTGCTCAAAAAAATTTTAGGATGTTTTATTTGTATTTGTTTTAAGCACTGGAATTTTTATGCAAAGTTTCAATCCATTTGGATAAACCCTCGAAGTAAAAAATTGACAAAATTGATTTTGACTAGGATCGCCGCTAGTCCAAAATTGAAAATGTATTTCCTACTTGGTTATTTGCTCAAAAAAATTTTTGGATGTTTTATTTGTATTTGTAATAAACACAAGAATATTTATGCAAAGTTTTAATTCATTTGGATAAACCCTCGAAGAAAAAAGTGACAAAATTGATTTTGACTAGGGTCGCCCCTAGTCCAAAATTGAAAATGTATTTCCTACTTAGTTCTTTGCTCAAAAAAATTTTGAGGTGTTTTATTTGTATTTGTTTTAAGCACTGGAATTTTTATGCAAAGTTTCAATCTATTTGGATAAACCCTCGAAGAAAAAAATGACAAAATTGATTTTGACTAGGGTCGCCCCTAGTCCAAAATTGAAAATGTATTTCCTACTTGGTTCTTTGCTCAAAAAAATTTTTGGATGTTTTATTTGTTTTTGTTTTAAGCATTAAAATATTTATGCAAAGTTTCAGTCCATTTGGATAAACCCTCGAAGAAAAAGCGTCGCCCTTAGTCCAAAATTGAAAATGTATTTCCTTCTTGTTTTAAGCACTGAACTTTATTGCAAAGTTTCAATCCATTTGGATAAACCCTCGAAGTAAAAAATTGACAAAATTGATTTTGACTAGGGTCGCCCCTAGTCCAAAATTGAAAATGTATTTCCTACTTGGTTCTTTGCTCAAAAAAAATTTTAGATGTTTTAATTGTATTTGTTTTAAGCACTGAAATTTTTATGCAAAGTTTCAATCCATTTGGATAAACCCTCGAAGTAAAAAATTGACAAAATTGATTTTGACTAGGATCGCCGCTAGTCCAAAATTGGAAATGTATTTCCTTCTTGGTTCTTTGCTCAAAAAAATTTTTGGATGTTTTATTTGTATTTGTTTTAAGCACTAAAATATTTATGCAAAGTTTCAATTCATTTGGATAAACTCTCGAAGAAAAAAGTGACAAAATTGATTTTGACTAGGGTCGCCCTTAGTCCAAAATTGAAAATGTGTTTCCTACTTGGTTCTTTGCTCAAAAAAAATTTTTTCATCCAAAGTTTAATTTAAAAAAAATTGCAGTGAACTTTTAATTTGAAAAATTCGTAAGAAAGGAAAGTTTTTTGCTTTTTCTGAAGCAACGGCTGTTCCTACCTTGCCCAAAAACAATACAGCTCTTCTATAGATCAGCACGGATCAAATGTAAAAAACTAGAAGTCTCTACGATGTCTCGTTATTGAGATATCTTGCTGATTAACTTGCTTGTTTGCTTGTTTGCTTGTTTGCTTGCTTACAGAAAGCATATTTTGCGATTTTCTCAGCAATGCCGCAACCAATTTGAAATCTGTTTTTTGCAAAAGATGTGAAATTCAAGGCACAAACTTTTTATCTCTGAACACTTTAAGCTATCTTGCTCCATATCCTCACAAAATTCTAAAAACTGATTTTTCAATCTGAACAAAACCAATAGATTCACACGTGAAAACGGTGTGAATATAAAAAGTATCGACTTAAGGTCACCACCATTTCAACATAAACTATTTCGTCGCTCAAGAAGGAAGTATGGTGAGTATGTTGGGGATGTATTTTATGATCGATGGATGAAATATTTCAAAACATACCAAAATTACACGATTTCATTTGTTGGTTATTTACAGTTTTAATCCTAAAATCCTGTTTCTAGATTCAAACTTTAGTCAAGGGTGCGGAACTGATAAATTACATTTTGGTCATTTTTGACTTACTCAAAAGTCAATTCAAACTCCACCATTCCAAAGAATTAATCAAAAATCTACAACAAGTCAATGTGAATCATACAAAGTCGATTCTGTTGACTTTTGGCGATGCGCCATTCGAACTTTCTGTGTGTTTTACATAATCAAGTTGGAACTTGAAAGATTGTTGGTTAAAATGATCAAACTTCAGTTATTGATTCAAATTAAAGGTTATTGGATTTAAAACTTAAAGAATTATTGACACTTCTATGATTCCATCAGAATCAAGTGCTCATACGAATGCATTGATTTATTTGTTATATTATTTATTAAATATGCTTGATTTTTTATATATTTTTTTAAACAAAATGAATAAAAATTGAAATAATTTTAAACTCTATTTTGGTTCTACTCGAAATAATTCAACATCTTTCGGTAACGGTCGATGACTTAAAGTTATTGCTGGTTTGTCATCAATCACTGTGGTCTTGTCCTTCGATATTTCATTTTTTGAATCATCTGAGTCATTACTAAAGGCTGATGTGCTATAAAGATCTCAAAAGAAGTACTTTCATTTAAAAACATTCAACTTGCCATAAAAGCTTACACTATAAAAATCAGAACATATCGTACCCTTTCTTATCAACAGTTGGTTTCTTGTTTGGTCCTCGTTTACCACCTGTACGTCTTTTGGCTTCGGAAAAGTTCATGTTAATGAAACAAATTATCAAAAATATTGTAAAAATGTATTTCATTTTGAATCTTAAGAAAATTAAAACGACAATGATGATTGAAATAAAAATATTTTTTTTCCTGCTTTAAGTTTTTGTTTGGATGATTGCGTTATAAATAGGGTGAACAGCCGATTGGATTTCTTTGGATTGTCTTTTATTTTTTTTAAAACTTATTCTCAATTCTCTGAAATTTGTTCAGTATTTTTTGAATTTATACATTTCTGATCACCATCTATTTTGCGATAGAATCTGGTCATCCTAGTTTAATAGCATGGAATACTTTATTAAAAGAGATTGCTTCAATAAATACTAGAGCCGTGTATTTCAAACTGTATGTCACCATTATCATCGGTAGAACAGGTTCGCTTCATTTCACATAATTGATAGTTTTGTACCAAACAATTTAGCAAATATCATTCAAAATCCTTATTATTTATCAAATAGTGCATCAAGTTCAAAAGCTTGTGTGTCTTGTTAGCTATTGCCAAAAAAAATTCAATCTAATGATTCAGGTTTGCATCTCACAGTGTCAAATTCACAAAATGCACAGAAAAAAAGACAATGCATTTCACGAAGTATTAAATTTTCATTTTTAGTGACAATTAATTTATTTTTTGATTCTCATCGACGTATGTGTTCTCATTATTTAGTCTTAAATAAAGAATTGAGATAAATTTTTATGCCAAGATTTTTTTTGGTGAAATTTAATAAATAATGTAAAAGTTTCGGGAGATGATTGTAGAGATTCGAAATAAAATGTTGATTCTTTATTTTTTTGTTTTTTTATTAATTAATTAATTTGAATTTTTTGAATTTTAGACACCATTTAAATTTTTATAAAGCATTAATATCAAATAAAATCTTAATCGAATAAATGGAAAAAAATAAAAAAATCAAAATTTTGAGTCAAAAAATTACTCAATTGAAGAAAAACAAAAGAATCAATCAAGTCTTTGGCAGACAAAGAAATAAAAGAGTCGAGATAATTCAAACTAAACGTGTTGGTATGAAAATTAAGGCACATAGCAGAGCATGAATGAAGGTACTAGAATAAATTGCAGAGTTTTTTTTTATTAAATTTGTTCAAAAACATTTAAAATGGCTTTTCCTTAATAACATTAAAATGAAGAAACAAAAATAATGAAAATTAAATTTAATGGATTTCCTGAAAACTTAATGTTAAAAAATTACAAACAAGTTTTTTTCTTAAAATGTTTCACATTAAAACTATTTTTTTATTCTTTAGTTTTTTTATCAGCAAAAAATTACAAAAGATACATTTACTCAATTTAATTCCTATATATCTATTTATTCTAAGGAGTGGAAACTATCCCAAATATCCCATTTATCCCATATATCACAAAAATTTTCAAAAAATTCCTGAGCATGTATCCACGATAATAAATGTACCCAACGTATCCTTAGTGTATTGGACGTGCACTTTCAGGATATGATGTGATATCTCAATTTTAATGCATACATGCTCAGGATTTTTTTGAATATTTTTGGGATATACGGCATAAATGGGATATTTGGGAAAGTTTCCACTCCTTGATTTATTCATATAAAAAATTTTTCTGTTGCCAAAATCTTTTTGATTAAAATTTTTTTCTTTTTTTCTTATAAAATCATCAGTTGAGCTTATTTTCTAGGTAAAAAAGTTTAAATTCTTTAATATTAAAAATAAAACAGGTTTAATTGTGTTTGAAAATTACAAAAAAAAAGAATTCTGTGCATTCCTGAATTGAATTTATTATGTAGCTGTATAAGTTTGTTTTCAAATTGCTCACGGAGGGTGGAAAGGAAAATTAAGAATAATAACTTGGATGATAACTTAATAAGTGAACAAAGGTTTAGTTCAATGTCAAGGTCAATTAAGTTCCGACTTAGTCTAGGAACAAAAACTCTTGACACCTTTGTTTTATCTTTGAAGTTAAAGATTGACTTTGATGACAATGAAAAGGTTCATAAACGATAAACAATTGGGCATAATTGGCATAGAATTGGACAGATTAAGGACAGAATCCTTTCATCCATTCTCTGAGCATTTGACCCGCTAAAATAACAAAAATCTGAAAAATAATGGTCGAAAAGGAATTAAAAACAAATAAAAATTTTAAGTCAAAATTAATTAACAAAAAGAATTTACAATTCTCATATGTTTTGAAAATATAAGTTCATTTAGTGACAAACTAGTCAGAATTTTACATCAAAATTTTAATTAACAATAACTTTTTAAAAACAATAAAATATTAAATTTTCGTTTTTTATAACTTTTTGAATTCTGACTTTAATTTTTTCTTTAAAAAATTAGCTTTTAGCGTTTGAATTTTTTAAAACCAAAGGTATGTACAGTTTATTAAAAATACCAATTAATTAAGCTAACCAATAAACCGAGCAAAATTTTCTAGCAACTAAAATAAAAATATATAAAAAAGATTTTATTGTCTAATTCTTTCGATGAAAATTTTATGGAAAATCGGACTTTAATGAATATATTACAAGATTTGTTAACTTTTGAAGTTCGATTTAAAATCTGTGAGGAAGACATTTAATTTGGGTCAATTTTGAATTATTGCTATAATTTTTCAAAACATTTTTGTGGTTTTTTAACATTCATTTTTTTTAAACCTAGATATTTTCAAAATTTAAATTTTATTAGATTCATCAAAAGTTAACATAAAAGTTTCCACAAAATATTTTATTCAATCGAAAAATTGCACCAAAAATCAAGCAAATTGTGTGATATAAATTTATAAGAAAAATATTTTCTTTTTCTTTGGACGTAAGCTAAGTTAAATATTCAATTAAGCTACAAAATCAAATAATCAAAAAAAATCTAAGCAGCTGCCAATGAATTAAATTTAGATGATGGTCGAAGAAGGTGTTTAGTGATGGAATTGAAGATTTAAAAAAGTGGAAAATGTGGTCAATTTATTTCAAAATCAATCCCTTATTTCCATGAAAATATTTAGATATTTTTTTTATAAAAACAAAGCGATCGCAATTTTTGTTTATGTTAAAATATTCAAAGTCTTTGGTTAAATACAAAATTATTAATTTTTTTAAAAATAAATTTTCAATAAAAATGCTGTTTTTATTTTTCTATTAAATTTATAATTCAGGATTAGATTAAGATGATAAACGTAATGCTGGTGAAAAATGGAAATGACAGCTTATGGATGTGTGATTGTTGTTTCTTATAATAAAATTAAATTTGGAATTTTCTAGTTTTTATTTTTTTTTTCAAATCCAAAAATATATATTTTTTCTCATACAAACATTTTGAAGGCTAAAGAGGTTCAATTCATTAGCATTGAGAAGTTAATCTTCAGAATTCTAAGAAAACTGTTGAGACTCTTTACATTTCTGGACAGTCTCTAAAATCACTCTTAATCCTTCAAATTAATCAGGTCGACAAGTATTTTGGCCAAATTTGATGAGAAATTCTGACTGTATGCTGAAAACTTTCTAGTTAAAAATGATAAGGAAGCTCAGGCTTTTTTCAAGACGTAGAAACTCAAGATTAGTCCTTAAAAAATCCCAAAAATCCAAAAAAATCCCTGAGCCAATAAACATAAAAATGTGAAATCCGTTTAAAATGCCAAAATTATTTATCAAACGCATGAGAGATTTTTTAGGATTTTTGGGATTATTCAGATTAATCCTGAGTTTCCACGCCTTGTTTATTTTGAGCTGAAGACATCATTTGTTGAAATTCAATTGAGATCTTATTGCATCAATTTAGAAGTGCTTAATGTTAAAGGCTTCAGTCTTTGATCTTAATTAGGTTAAGATGTTGACCAGATCGGTCTCAATCCAAATTATTCAATATCCAATAACTTTTGTTTAGATCTCATCAAAAATTGGCCAATTTTTGTATTTTTTTAAAATATTTTTTTAACGAACATTTTTGCTATTTTCTTTCAAAAGTTTCCAACCACCGCGTGCGCTTTCGTTCCAGATTTTTGAAAAAAATTGAAAAACTTACAATCCACGAATTTATTTAAAATCTTAATTTATAAAATAATTTCCTAACATTTAAGTATCTTTCGTCAAATAACTGTTATGTAGAAGTGAATTTTGCATGTTCATGCCCTGATCACATTGCATATTCATTGAATTTAACTCAAGTGAGACAATTTGCTTAATTTCTGGATTACTATGATTGCTTAGTCTCATAAAGACTTGATTATATAATAAAATGACATTTGTCTTTTCCTCATCGCAGCGTCTCAGCGAATCGTTCTCTTTTTGGAGTTCTTTAAGCTTCTTTTCGACATCATGAGCTCGCTTTTTTGCCTTCTCGCGTGACTTCCGAACAGCAATGTTATTCCTTTCACGTCGTCTACGGTATTCATCAGTTCCTTTGTCAGCTCCTTTTAGTGAATTTTTTCGACTAACGAGATTTTTGTTGAGTTTTTGGAAGTTTGATAAGTGGGCTGCTGCATGATTTGGGAATTTTCCTAAGTGGAGATAAAATATACAAAAAAAAATTAAAATCATAGTTTGAGTCTGGGAATTAAAGTAGTTTTGGTGAAATTGTAGCTAGTGAAGGGGATAAGGTTAGTCCGGATCAAAAGGGTTTATGGTGAAAAAAGTAGTCTGACACTCATTCAAGATTTACATTTTATAAATAGAAAAAGTTTAAGAGAAAAATTCAGACTCCAAACTCGCTTCACAGAGGTTGGCACCAGACGCGTAGCCCAGGGGGGGGGGGGGATGTTGACAAATCCCCGTACGTTAATTTTTGATTTTTCTAGGATTTTTTTTGAAAAAAAACCAAAAATTACCCCCCCCCCCCCTTGATTTTCAAATAAAATATTCATTGCCCCCTCTTCAAATTAATGGCTACGACCTTGGTTAGAACTGACAATTTTGCTACAAAAACATCGTCAATTAATTGTTTTAGTATCTTTGTCGAATTTAAAAATTTGAAATCCTACAATTAATTTAATAAACAATTTTCAAAAAAAGTCAAAGTAAACTACGAAATTCCTCAAAATTTTCCAACTTGTTAAATTTACCTGGAGCATGTGGTTGATGATGAAGCACTGATGCTGGTGTAAGTGAAGTGAATGTTGCACCATTATTGTTATTAATATTATTATTATTATTATTACTATTATTATTATTATTATTATTTTGGAATTGATAATTTCCATTGAGGAATTGACTATTTGCAGTCAATTGTTGAAGTCTCCTAAGCTCAATTGGATCAACTGGTTCTTCCTTAATATTTGGATTTTCTGCATTCTCTACCGCCTCATTTGGATTTCCTGTGGAGACAAGAAATGATGGAAAATTTTGAAGATCTTTTTTTGTTTTTGGAAATTTTGAATCATTTTTTGTTTTAAAAAAATTTCAAATTTTTAAATTTATGTTTTAATTTTGTTAAAAAAAATTGACATTGCTGGACCAGATTGGTCAAGGATGGGATCAAGAGTTGTTATTAGTCAAGTTACCAACGCAATCCTCATTCTTAATTTGAATAAACAATCTTTAACGACATGTCATTGCCATTCTAAGCTTAAAATCTTAAAAAATATATCTCAAACAATCATCCAGTAAAGCTACACAAAACAAAACAAGCAAGATAAGCATTTATCGAGGAAGTGATGCTGAATACAAAAAAATCAAATATAATAATTTGTCACACATCAGCATAAAGTGTTTTTGCATTATACCATGAACTGCATCCATAAAATCCTAATGCAATGAATTATGTTCTTAATTTTAAACACAGAAAAATCTAAAATAATTTTTCATGTCAAGCAAAATTTAATTCTGAGAAATTTCAAGACCAAAGGAAATTTTTCTCTTTGTGACGAATCTTTTCGATAATGTTGACTTTGAAAGTTAAGTTCGATGACTTTTGGTGTAAATAATTTTTTGAAGTGGCAATTTTTTTTCTTGATTTTTAGCCGTTTGAACTTTAAAGGAACTGTAGAGAATTGGTACTAAAGGTTTATTAAAGTTGCATTGCTGATGAATAAGAAAAGTAAGAGTTGAAAGAGAAAGAAGTGAATTTTAAGGAAAATTGCTGATTTGTCATCGATCCCGAATGGCGCAAGTCGGTTAATCAAATAGAAATCCGGTGCCTAGCCAGTTTGACTCTGGCATGGTGCTGGCTTCGATTTAAATCAAGCACCATGCCAAAGTCATACCAGCTTGGTGCCGGATTTCTGATTAATTAACCGACTTGTGCCATTCGGAGGTGTTGATGGTTCAAATTGAGGATGTTAGTTGAGATAGTATTAAACTCTATTAAGAAGTTGAAAGAGGTGGATCACCAAGATAAAGTCTATATACATTTCATCCTCAATTGAATATTGGGACTTTTTGAACCTGTTTCTTTGTTTGAGCTGTTAGAAAAGCCTAGACCCTTCCTTAACCAATTATTCCTTCTTCTTCCGCACGTCTTTTGCCAAACATACTCACAGTTTATGACACAAAAAAAATTTAAATATCCCTAAACCAAAAGATATATACCAAGGCATGGAAACTCAGGATTAGGTCTGAAATATTCCAAAAATTCTTAAAAAATCCCACATTTTCATGTTTATTGGATCAGGGATTTTTTTATGATTTTTCGGATTCTTTAGGTTTGATCCTGAATTTCCATGCCTTGATATAAACAAACATTCCAAATCTAGTTCAAACAAACACATTACGCAGTTTTAAACTCAAAAGTCATCTTGTTCTTTCAATCATTTCCCAGAAACGTGAGCAAAAACATCACAAATGACATGATTAATGCATTCTTAATTGCCCAGCACGCGAGCAAATTGCTACTCTTTGTCAATAGTATTCATAATAATTCTCAAGTAAGAAAAAATATTGTCTCATTATGCTCATTATGCCGTCCACAAATTGCAACATTTTGTTGTTGTTGGTGCTTTTTATCCACTGCTGTTTCAGCTCTAAACAATTTTTTTGTGAGCGGATTGATTTTATAAATAAGAAAAAAAATATGTATTACAGCATGGAACTACGTAATAGCGTGAGGTGAATGAATAACAAGAGTTACGGCATTGATTCGCATTATGCCTGCATGGTTCGATTTCGTTTGGTTTGAATTTACTATCTCGGTGCTGCTATATTACTGAGAATTTAAGAAATTATTTAAGTTTTCTTCTTAATCTAGAAACACTAGCTTAATACAATGAAGGCATCGTAAGAGAATTTGAACTAATCCTTTAAAATGGTTTGAATGGTATTTTCAGTGTTTTTATATGGCAACGAAGGACAAGGCCCTGGTAATTTCCTTACTTTGACACACTTTTGGTACATACCCAAAATTTTGATTTCAATTCAATCTTCTCAAGCAGGTAATTCTAAACTATGGATCGCGACACACTAGTAGGGTAAGGCATGACCGAAGTCGCACAGAGCATGCGGATTTTGTCATTTTTAAAAGACACTAATGTACCGCGGCACAAAGTTTGGACAACACTGCACCAGTGTGTTGCTTCTTTGCACTAGCGTGTCGCTATCCATAGTTTGGAATTCATTGCTTGAGAAGATTAAATTTAAAAGCCTTAAAGTAATGAGATTACCAAAGCCTTGTTCTTCGAAAAAATCTTAAAATTCACGAACCGAATTCCGCATATGGTTTTGGTAATGGCTTACCATGAAGGTGTGTCGCGGGTCAAAAAAAACTTTGGAAGAAACTGTTTTAAAGTGAAGAAACACTCTATACCCAATTTATTAGGGTTCCAGGTACGTGATTAGTCAAAAAAAACCAGGTAATGTAGATTTATCATTTCAACATCCTAAGGGATGCAGCCAGTGCAAGAGGGTTGTGATGAATTTAGGGGGACAACTCCCCAATCGTTAACAGAAATTTCTTCATTTTAATTGAGTTTTTAAGAAAAAAATTTAAAAATGAACAAAAAATTTTTTTGACTGCCTTCTGTCCAAATTCCTGCATTCACCCCTGATCGCCCTACATCCAACTTAGATATTAAAAGTATTATGCATTCCCCAATTAATTCACTACACTTCCTTATATCTAAATTTAGTGATTAAATCCCAAAATTACGCTAACTCATCACTCATTACGAATGCATTTAAAAGATAAAAAAATTATGCGTGCTTTCCGTTAATAAATTTTCAACACCTCAAACTTCAAAATCATCATAATTTTTTAAACTTGAGAGAGAAGATGAAATTTATTATTCAATAATTACAGAAGTATTTTTTTCATTCACTCCCAACAACAAACTATTTTCATTTCGTAATATTCATTCAGAAAATTATTATTATTATTATTATTGTTGCTGCTGCTATAACGGTTAAGATGATGATGATGTTGATGATATCGCGTCATCGACAACCACAGACGAACACACATGCGAATGTGCAACGTTGCCTCACTTTCAGTTTCATTTGGTGCTTTGTGTCTGCTTATGTGAGTTGATTGACTGACTTTGTAGACAACGGAATGATTCTTTGTTATAGTTAATGCTTTGGATTGATAAGTTCTTGATTCAAATGATCACCTTCGATTACACGTGTCTTACATAAAATTCCATATCATACCCAAAAATATATATAAACAGTTATTTAACAAATTTTTCATTCCTTTCTAGTTTCAAACTATCAGAAAAAATTTACATTCATACAAATTAGATTCTCATTAGGTAAGCTGAAGAAATTTAGAAAGCCCACAAAAAAAATCATATTTTGATGACTAATTAAATGTAAAAAAAAAACCACACAAACATACAAATAACTCTAAACAGAGAGAGAGAAAAACTTTCAAACCACAAAAACGATCAAATGAAAAAAAAATTTCTAGTCAAGAATGATATGAAAAGAATTGGGTCAACAAACTGTCAAATCATGTTTTTTGTCTCTTTCTTTTTACACGCTTGTTCGTTGTTTAACATTTACAACCAATAAAGGTTAGTAAGGCATGAGTGGTGGCTTACTGATTAAGGCGAATTTTAGCTTATTAATCCAATTTTGTAGTTTTGAGTGACTTCACTTAAAAAAATTAAGCATTTTGGTGCGGTCACACTATGATTTTGATGTAATGGTGCCTTCTCATGAGATTAACATGATTCAGGTGCAACTACACTAGAAGTTTAAGGTTTACGCACCGTTACATTAGCATGACATGATTCAGGTGCATCTACATTAGATATTTAAGTTCAAAATGCCCCTAACCTAGAATTATATGATTCAGGTGTCTTTACACCAGAGCAGTGTTGTCTAAACTATGAGCCGCATGCCGTTTGCGACTTTTATCATGGCTGTGGCTCAAAAAAGTTGGTTCAACGCTTCACTATAGCCTAAAACCCAATCCAGGCAATATGCCAGTCGCAATTACTCATTCTTCCAACAAACCTCAACTCAATAAAGCGTTAACCCAACACGCATACAAATCAGCCATCAGACGAAGCAAAAAAAAACCCGAAAAAAGCGAAAGTGAAATTAAACACATCAGAAGATGAAGAGAAAAAAAGATCATAAAAAAATCTGATTCATCAGCATTTTAAACTTTTTTAGGTTCATAAAGCTAGTTCATTTACCTGTAACACATCCGGGCATGTAGGCCAATGCATTCGTTGGATTCTGTCGATGTTGAAATCTCGCCTGTTGGATTGCTTTAGCAGCTTCCGAATTGACAATTCCATTAACACCATTGACACCATTAACGCCATTCACAACAGCTGGAACGACTTTATTGAAAAATGCAAATTGCTCCTGTTCATTACGGAATTGATCGTCAATGAAATTCGCCAAGTCGAGTGAAATTTCTGGATTTGTCAACTCCTCGAGATCATTCTGTGTATATTGCTGTACAACATGCTGTATTTGTTGTTGTTGATGTTGCAATAATTGCTGTGGATGTTGTTGTATCTGTTTTTGTAGTAGAGCTGTGCCGTTGGTGAGACCACCATTGACATGATCGTTCTTTAGATTTGCATTTATCGTAATTGAATTATTATTATTATTATTAATGACATTTGAGCCATTTACTATCGACTTTGTTTGAGCAGCCATGGGGAGATTATTTTGATTATTGTCATACATTTGAGGTGATTCCATGGCTTGACATCGACACGATAATAGGATGAGAGGGGATATCAGTCGCTGAGGGGTATAACGGACGGTTGGGATTGTTTGAAGCTTTTTAATTCACAAGTTGTTTTCGGAAGATCAAGTTAATAAAGCTTCTTAGCCGATTTATCCAGAATATTCTCCTATCAATTAATATAGCTCTAAAAACTTTTGTGGTCACCTTTATCAATTTTGGGTCGAACTGTATTTTTGTGGTTTTAGTTTTAAACTCTATGTGTGTGTGTGTGTGTGTGTCTAGGTTGGTTGATTATAATACTTTGCTGATTAGTTTGAAGTTGTAGCTTTTCCACGATGAAGAATTTATTAGGTCACGTATAGTCTCTGTAAAAATGATAAAAAAAAAGCTTCGTTAGTTATGAAATTTGAATTTATAGGTTTTTGGTGAATGTTCATTTTGATGACGCATCAACTTTTTTGGATAAAAGCTTTTGCTTCTTAGAGCGGTTCACAATTTTTTTTTTTTGGTGAATTACAAAGTTTTCTTTATGGCTACAGTTAAGATTTCTTGGGGCGCTTCTTACTACCTTAGATCAATAATCTACTCCTCTTTTTAAAAAGGACGAAAACATTTTTGATTATTTTACAACTCATATAAAATATCCTTAAATCCTTCAGTTTAGAAATGTAGAATATTTGTCCTAGAACGTCCATGTCATCTCAACAATAGCCGCACATATATTTTATTCAAACAGTCACATTCTTTTAGCGCATCTTTGAAAACTTGTTTTTAAAAAGGTAGCTCTTTTATGCACTTTGTTCGGTTGCTCGGTCGGAGCGACAAAAACTCAGAGCTCGAAGGCGATAAGGTTCGAGTCGAGTTGATTGGAAAAAAACCAAGTCTACTGGAGTTGACTTAGAGCTCTGCAAAAACTTCTTAACCAAACATCGTAGAAAGCTCAGGTCTGTTTTATTAGCTCCATTACTATCGATTTATCGGCCATGGTTTATGTAAAAATTTTTAAATTGTCTCTAAATGCAATAAGTAATGTTTTTTTTCACCCTTACAAAAATTGCTCTGGGTGCGTTTAGAAATTAAAATTTATGTCTACTGTTATCAGATTTGTATACCATTTAACCGTTTTAGGACAGAAAACTTATAATATGCAAAAAGAATTCTAGATTGATTCAAGAGCTTTTATTAAATCTTGTTAATCGAATTAGCATGCACACCTAGCACATTCTTTACCTAATGTACAAGCTGAGTAAAATACAGCAAATAAAGTGTGTCTTACATTATATTGCTTAATATACTGAGCGCTGCAGCAAAAATGCGCTCCAGTCACTCGATAAAGCACTATAATTTTCGTTATTTTTACTTCTTACTTTAAGATTTTTTGTAAACACAAAAAAATCATTCACAGATGAAAAACTGTCTTGTTATATTTTGTTTGTAGATGCAATACTAAATAACTCGTCATATTATGCGACGACAATTTTTTTTTTGTTACTTAAACAAAATTTATTTTTTTTTCTATTGTGTCTGTGATTTTTCTTCACATAATTTGACTTGTTGCTTCTCTCAAATTATTCAAAAAGAAAACTTTGAATTTTTGTTTCAGTTTATTTTTATGCAAACACAAATCCTTGCTCATTTTTTTGGGAGTGAGTCAAGGAATGGACACTTATAAGATTTTTTTAAAAACTGATGGTTTGAGTTACATCAAAATTAGAAATTAATTTACCAAAAAAATTTGGAAGGATTTTTTGGGATATTGGAAAATTATTGATACTTAAAAAATCTATTTCTGATGTGTTAAAAAATCTCAAGAAAACTTTTAAAATCTTTTAAATTGTGTAATTTCCCCTCATTATTTGTAAAGCAAAAAATAATTATGAAAGAAAAGTATTTTTTAACCATAATTTAATTTAAAATTTTAATTCTTAAAAATTTAATGTGATACAAATTTTAAACAAGAATCATTTGTAGGTTATTATTTAAAATTGAAACGACTATTTGGAATTTTTTAAAGGAAAACCTTGTGAGAATTTTCCAGAAAAACTTATGTTTTCTAAACATACAAAAGCATAAAAATTAAGTTTGAAGATGAGGACATCAAAAACAAATTAATTTTAATCGTTTTGAAACTGATTTTTAACAGATAACAATATTTTAAAATATAATATGGTTAAATATTTAAAATGTGAAATTAATAATAATTTTAAAAATATTACTTACTTTTTATTTAAGATTTATTAAATTTAATCCAAATTTTAAATGATGTTTTTCAAAACAAATTGCTTGTATTTGTTATTTTCACGTTTAATTTTTTTAAGTTTATTTATTTATTTGTCACAGTTTTTTGAAATAAGTTTTCATGTGTTTTTCTTTTATTTTTTGTTCATTCAGAGATGCTCAGCACTGTCAATTTTTATCTTTTCAGTTTAAATATTTTAATTCATTTCTCTTTTATTAAATTTACTGAATTTTTATTTTTAAATCGTTTTTTATTTTTTATAATTTCACTTCCTCTTTCTTTTATTTTTTCAGTTTTTTTTAAATTATTTTTTTTTAATTTCCACAAGAATCACAACAGGATCTTTTCACTTCCGCACGATCAAAAAAAGTCCAAAAAGATCTGGAAAATTATCCTTTTCGCGATCGCGGCAAATTTGAAAAAAGGAAGAAAAATAATTTCAATTTAATTTAAAACTCGAAATAAAAAAGTTTCAAAATAGAAAAAAGAAAGAAAAAAATATGGAAAATAAAATTTTGTAAGCGCGACTTTTTTTCGGTATTTCTCGTTCAACAGTTGTTAACAAATTGTTTTGAAAATAATGTATTGCGATAGTTTTTACTTTCGTTTGACTGCAACGGGGAAACTTCGGGCGCAAGTATTGAATGAAGACAGAAAAGTGAATATCAGCGCGAGCGACGAGCGAGAGAGGAGAGAACTTTTACTTTTTCGCTCATTATTTCTTCTTTTTCGACATTCGGTTAATCGGTTCGTTCGGTCGGTGCATTACTTTACTTAGCAAGCTCTCTATTGCTGGCTTGAGAATTTGTCATTTTTTTTTCTTTTTTGTAAATGCTTCTGGTTTGTTTTGAATTTTTTGGGGGTTATTTGTACTCCAAATGCTTTTTATGTGCTCTACTTCGATTTTGTGTGAATTTTTCTAGTTGTTCTGTTTTTGCATGTATTTAAGTTTAATGAATGTTTTTTTAAACGATACTGCCAACCTTTTTTTGAGGAGATTGGTCAAATAAAGCCGTATCAGCGGTAATTCATACCATGGTTTTTGACAATACTATGCCTTGTTTCCAAGACTGAACTTTGATTGCATAGATTTTTACATTATCATTCATTTTAACAGCGAGCTTCCTATTAAGCAAACTACATCTTTAAGTCTATTTATCCTAAAGTCAAGTAAAATCAAAACAGAAAAACCACGAGAAATTCAAAAGGTAAAATTAGGCTTAGGCCTAAGGAAGCACTCTTGACAAAAATCGAGTAAATTTTCAACTTCCCTCAACTCCCCATGATTCCGAATTAAGCTCTTCATTTTTTTTTGCCGATTTGTGGTCAAAATACAGAACATGTTCCGATTTCAGCTCTAAGGATTTTAGGCATGACTATGTTCAAAAAAGTGGGACTGTTCTACTCAAAAGTCAACATACAAATAGGGTGACTTTATATTTTTGAAAAAAAGAGGATCTGAAAGTAAAATAGAGAACATCTCACGTGTATACCAAAAGTTTTCTGGACGAATTAAAACAAAACAAAACTACTTTATTTTTGAAAATTGAAAAAAAAGACTGTCCCCTTAAAAACCAATCGGATGATCAGCCTACATATAAACAGCCTATTTATAATGAACAATCAATCCATGAAACAATTTACAACTTAACAAATTCCAAAGGTCTTCCACCAACACCTTCAATGTTTATTTTTCTTACCCCATTGACCGATAAAAAAAATTATTGTTGATTATTTACAATAAAATCCATATGCACTTTATGATTAATGCAAAAAATATTTCTGATTCCAATTATGTTTTTGCTGATTTAAAATTATAATAAATTGTTTCCAATTATTGTTTTCTGGTGATTTTTTATTTGACATTTATGCAGAGCTCGAAGTCAACTCGAGTTGACTCGAGTTGATTCGAAAAAAAAGAAAGTCGACTCTAGTCAAATCGACTTTGAGCTCTGCATTTATGATTTATGATATTCATGATTTTTTTTGGTCCGTTATGGTTATTGCATGCGATCGTTTTAATTAAAATTTAAAAAAAAGAAAATTTAAATGCTGAAAAATAGAGAAAATTGCAAAGATAAAGTCATCAATTTTTGAGCAAACTTTGATCTTCTTTTTAAAAATAGCTTCTGTCAATGGCTCTTCATAGATCAAATTATTTTAAAAATCCTTTAGATCAGCACAAATTGTTTCATAAATATTTATGCAATTTAAGAATTTTTTCTGCTCTTTAAAAACAAAAACAAAATCAATTTGCATGATCCCACAGCAAAAACTCAACTTTTTACCATCAATTTTTAATCTTTTCAATCTTTTTCTAAGTCGCGATGTTTTTTATTTTTTCCTTATTCAACACAATTTTATTTCTGTTGTTCGAAGCAGCAAGAAAAAGAGCTTTTATTGCATAATTCTGCTTTTGCCATAACAATTTTTCTATGCCACAGAAAAGAAGAAAAAAAAGATGAAACGAAAATGAAGTTTTTTCCCCAACTCGTGGGTTTTGCGGCATAGAAAAAAAGTCGTCGCAGAAGAATAGAAAAAAAAATTGTTGTGAATTTAAGATGATGATTTTTGATGTTGAGTTGCTAGTTTTGCTTTGTCATTGTGTCTACGCATGGAATATTTATTATTGTATCTTAGAAATATTTGAAGATCATCACTAAAATTATCATTCAATAAATTAAAGTTTGCTTTACAGCCCAGCCCCTAAACCAGAAGCACTTAAAAAACCTCAAAATCATCCCGCTTCACTGTGGCTGCTTTTGTCTTACCCCCATGCAAAAAAAAAACACTATTCGCAATCACATTTTGCAGTAATTAGAGACGAAGAGAAGAAAAAAAAATGCAAGAAAAAAGTGAATTGAAAAATGCAGTCAAACGAGATGACTTTCTGGCAAAAAAAAAATTGTGGATTTGCTTGTCGTTTTGACTTTTGGAATTAGATGCAGAGTTAGATGCATGACTTGAGTCGTGTTTTGCTTGCCTTTTTACTTTTCCTTTCTGCTCTTTCTTGAAAGATTTTTTGTGGGCGATTTTAAAAAAATGTTTCGAAATTTTGTTGGCGTTTTTTTGCATGACTTTATATTTTTTTGGAGTGGATTGAAAGGTTTTCTGTGGGAAATTTTAAAATTTTTCTAAACAAATTTTAAATCTTTATTGAATTTTTTTTATTTTTTTTATTTTTTAAATATTATTTGTTATCTTATTAAATAGTTTATTTGTGTCAAAAACATAAGTTAAAATTTTATTGTCATAAAAGATTCAATCACATTTCCTCCCTTTTCTCCATTTTCTACAAGACATTTTAAGTGACATTTAATCCAGCATTTAAAAACAATAATAATCACTTTTAACTTCATGCTGATTTTTTTTTGTTCATTCCATATTGAACATTGTATAACCTGCATAACCTAAAATAAAAGAGAGAAAATGAATGAAAATTACTATCTAAAACTCAAGATAAATGTGTCTTGACACTCTGCAACAGTGTTGTCCAAACTGTGTGCCGTGGCACGTTATTGTGCTGTAGAATTATTTTGTAAATGACACGAGCCGTATGCTGTGTGTGACTTGAGTCATTGCTTGCCGCTAAGGTAAAAAAGTTTGAACAAGACTGCTCTCTAGCATCGTTTAACAGTCATAACTTGATATCCATAAATCACTAGCATTTTAAGTTGAAATATTCGCAAAAAAAATCTTTCACTTTCCGATGTGTTTTATCTGACTTGAAATGTCAACTGAATTTAGGAGAATCAGCTTAAAAATTAAATAATACATAAATTTCCACTCAAGTCTATCAAAAAGATTTTTTTAAATAATTTAAAAAGTTTATTTTCTCGAATTTTATCCAACTACCCTCAAAAAACTTATCTTTAATTAATCACACGAAAAAAATGTTTTAAAAATTATTTTATGTGCCATCGAATAGAAAAATGAGTGCATTGATAATAAAAAGTAAATAAAAGTCAAAAATATCAACAATCCAAATGTGTGTCAAAACCAAATCGAAGACACACGAACAATTTTTTTATTCAAGTTTGACCAAAAAATTGATGAGAAGTTAAATTTACCAAAAATAAAAACTGGGAAATTTAATATTTGTTGATTTAAATTTAATATTTGTTGATTATTTGTTATAATTATTTTATAAACTTTAACATTTATTTATGCCAAACACGTGAAATTGAAACAATGAAAAGTGAACTTAATCTTTAGCAAGGAGCATCGTTTTTAACAGAGTTGCGAAACAGGTCACCTGTGACAGGTGAGAACCTTTCAATTCCTTGATAATTTGTATGGTTTTGTTAGAAAAATCTTATAAATTATCAAGGAATTGTAGGGTTCTCACCTGTCACAGGTGCCTGTTTCGCAGCTCTGGTTTTTAATATTTGAAAATTTTTTAATCTCAATCAGAGGGCGAAGTCGACTCGAAATTTGTATGAAGTCGAGTGAACTCAAGTCGACTTTTCCATACAAAATCCGAGTCGACTTCGCCCTCTGATCTCAATTCTTTTGGATGTACTTTACCCAAAAGACGCAATCGATCAGAAATCTGGCACCTAGTCGGTGTTGGATTCTGGCATGATGCTGGATTTAAATCAAAACCAACATTATGCCAGAGTCATGCCAGGTTTGCGTCAGATTTCTATTCAATTAACCGGCATGTGCTATCTTTAGCCTAATTCACTGACTCACTGACTCTAGAACGAAAGCCATGTGAAGCCATTTGTGAAGCCAATGATTTTGGGGGTGTTGATAAGGTGGTAGCTAGGTCAGAGTGTGTGTGTCAGGTGTGGGTCCTCATTTTAAGAATGTATGTATGTCTTTAGGGATGCCATATGTACATAGCCATTTATTAAGTTTTTGGGATAAAGAAGTTCCACGTTTGAGGGGTGTTTTGAAGTTTTGTTTGATAATTAAACAAAATTTTTATTAAGCACTCAATCCCAACAACAGATGTTCATAATCCACATAAGATCCAATTTATTAAAAAAGATCACAAAAAAAATTAAAAAATTTAAAATAAATCACAACAGCATAAATACTTCCTGCTTAATTAATCTTATCTCATCTTCAAAAGTTTTCCTTTCTTTCGCGTAACAATAAAATAATAAAAAGGCACACATAAAAAAACCCAATTTGCAAGAATAATAAAAGCGATTTTAAGCTTGTTAAAGGAAAGCAGAGCGCGAAAAAAAACAGCTGAGAAAAAAAAATTACGTCACGGAAATCACCCAAAAAATCAGCGACCAAAAAATTGTTGAATTAACATTTTTTGTAAAGTTAAATGATAACAAGTAAGAGAAGCATTATTAAGATTGGGATTGAAGCGCATTTTATAATTTTTTTGGACAGCTTCACCAAAACTTGTGCTGGGAGCCAAAAAAACCTAGCCAGTAATTAAAAGTCATGGTTTCTTTTAAGTTTGGAGCTTGGCAACAAGAACAGAGCTTAACTTACTTGTAAAAGATCTTTATAATGCTCACATCATTCCATACCCAACCCAAACATTTCCCACAACAAGAAAACAGCACCAAAAAAAGCCTCACAAAAAGCGCCAAAAGAAAAGAAGAAAAACTCAAAGCAGCATGTCAGCTAAATATTACATAATCCACAACAATTTGTTTTCTTTTTCTTTCACAGTGAAGCTCAACAGAGTCTAGAGTAATAAAAGAGATGGAATGAAAAACGAGAAAGAGAGAGAAAAAAACCAGCGCGAAATAAATAATGTTAATTATCTAAGAACCGATTAACCCACTTTTTTTTTCTTCGACGATCACCAACAACAATAAAAAGCAGCAGTAACAGCAAAAGAGAGTTGAGCCATGCATGAATGAAAAAGAGATGGAAAGTTTGGAGAGAAATAAGAGAAAAACTAGTAAAAATTGTTGTTTAGAGCCATGGTAAGCGATATTATCGCACTTTGAATAATAAAAAAAAAGTTGCATG